TGCAATTGCTAACATTTCAATTTAATCATTCTGGTTTAAATGAATCAGACTACATTAAAGATATAAAAATAAAAATAAACTGACACAGATCTTTCATACTAAAGTGATTGTCACTTTGTTTTATCATGAATTGAGTCATTTACAAAACATCTTAAAGGGGGGGTTGACTGCGATTTCACTTTTTTGACTTTAAATAGTGTGTAATGTTGCTGTTGGTGCATGAACAGTATCTGCAAAGTTGCAGCGCTGAAAGTTCAGTGTAAGAAGAGATATCGTCTTTTAAAAATCAGGAAGTATAATTGCCTACAAAAACGACTCGATTGGGACTACAGCTGGGTTATGGTACGTCACTAACCCACACATTTACATCAACCCCTCCCTCCGGAATATGCAGGAAAAGGCATGCGCATATTTCCGTGGCACGTCGAGTATGTTGTGTTCACCCAGCTGACAGGTCTCCTGTGTTCGAGCTTCCCACAGATGCTGTACTTCCTCAACAATGGATACAATTTATGTTTGATTATGTTCCTGAAAATGATGATCGTAATCTAGCTCTCTGTGCTGCGCATTTTACGGAAGACAGCTTCCAGAATCTCCACGAATTCAACACCGGATTCAACAACTAAAACATGAAGCAGATCCAACTTTAAAAGCAGAGGCAGCAGTTGTTGGGCCACAACCTGTAAGTATGCAAAGACTTCATCATTTTAAATGTATTTGCATGTATAATTCCAGACGTAGCCTTGTGTTTTTTTTTTTTTTCAAATGCCAGCGCTGGCTTTATAGCCACTAGAGGCTACTAGTTATGCTAGTATTTTGTGTCTACGACAAACGCGTACAAACATTATGGACCTGAATTTTGTATAAGTACTAATGTTGTAAATGTATTTTTCATGTATATATACTTTATGACGTTATTTTCGATATGATCAAGAATGTAAACTTGCCAACACTGTTTGTGTTTAACATTAGTAGCCAGTCAGTTGCTATTGTTGCCAGTCAGATGCTATTGTGTAAAACAAACGTGTATATGGTTAAAAAATGTAGCAAATCATTCAGAAACGTTTAGTAAGAGTGTGTGGTGAGGTTCTGCTTGACTCGATTCATTGCGGCTTTCTCGGTCTGATTCTGCCTCTGCAGTCTCGACATCATTATTATTTGTATCCACCGTCTATGGTATCCACCTTTGGCATGCCCGTTTCGCCCATAAAGGTAATGGGCGTTAACCTTCCGGACAACGTGAGCGAGAGTTTGGCCAATCACAACACACCGGCCCAAACGAACCAATCTGAGCCCACTGACCGTTTCTGAGGGAGTGTTTTCATAGAATCATGAAGTGAACCGCTCGTTCAGGGGACAGAGGAGAGTGCGGCTTACAATAAAGGTGAAGTTAATGAAAAATAAGACTTTTTAAAAAAGAAAAACCACGAATACATGTTATATTGCACCCCATAAACACAATCATGCAAAGAAAAAAAGCAGTAAACCACCCCTTTAATAATTAATCATCAGGTTTACGGTCCAGGATCTTCACCATATTTCAAATCGCTTGTCTCCGATGAACTTCTTTCTGTCACTGACTTTGTTCCCGAACAGCCTGAAAACACAAAATTCACCACAATATGATATTGTAAAGTCATCTGATTTGAAAAAAAGTCAGGACCTTCTGTCAAAAAGTAAAAGTATTCATCATTAAGTATTTCATTAAATTATATTTGGCTAAGCTGTGCGCAAAGTATGTATTCTAAACTGAACCACTGACATTTATGTATATGATAATTCATTTTAAAGATGCACTTTTATATACCAAAAATACAGGCTTATTCAATCATATTTAAATGCTTCAAGAAATGCTTATCATGTGGCCCTTCAACAATGTGGATCTAGAACTAGCATTGCTTGCATTATTTTAACTTGTAATTGAACAATAAATGTAATCAGATTACAGAAAACAGATGACTCTATAATGTAAAAATCAAATGAATTAAGTTTTGTTTGTTAAATCAGTAAATCTACTCTGTTTAATTAATGAATGATGTGAGTTAGAGGGTCAATAAACCTACAAAAATGAAACCCAGATCACACACACTCACCGCACAGTCTGGATATTGCTGTGACTGGAGACGCCGCTGTGGATTCTCTCTGCTGATTCGTCTGTTATATTATTGTGACTCACACTATAAGAAGAAATGAGACAGAAACAATAAATGAACAGAAGTGAACATGTGTTTAGTGTTTGTCTATTGCTGTGGTGTCTCAGTAACTCACTCCAGAGTCTGAGTTTTGTGCAGATGCGGCATCAGCGGCTTCATGCAGTGATCCGTGAGTTTGCAGTGACTGAGATCCAGTTCTTTCAGCCCTTCAGAATATTCCAGAAACAGCGCCAGCTGTTCACAAGCGCTCTGGTCCATCTGAGTGTGACTGAGGTCCATCTCTCCTCCTAAAGCCTGTGAAAGATCCTCAGTCCTCCTCGAAGAGCCTCTCTGAGATCCATCTTTACTGATACAAGCCAGAAACTGCAGCAGTAAAGCTTTACTGCAACTGAAGAGAGGAAGAACAACACAATGATAATATACAGGGAGTTTATATGGAGTTAAATAATTGGACTGTGTGATATCAGTAATGAGAGGTATCAGTCAGATATTTCTCACCTCAGCTGGACTCGAGGCAGGATTGGCCAAAGTTGTTTCAGGGCCGTATCAGAGATCTTACAGTCCTGTAAAACCAACTTCACAACACTTTGAGTTTTCTGAAGCACAGATGTGATTAATTTACAGTCTTTATTTGTTAGTTTCAAATGTTCTTGCTTTTTTGTGTCTGTTAAATCCAGAGCCGAACCGCAGGAGAAGTCCAGTGTGTTGTGAAGAGCAGAGAGCAGAACAGATGCTGTCTCCTGCTGGAGATCAGAGGAACTGCAGCCATGAAGCAGCTTCAGCAGCAGCAGCCTGTCAACACTACACACACACACACACACACACACACACACACACACACACACACACACACACACACACACACACACACACACACACACACACTGTTAACGGAGAGATTCTTGAGCAAAACAACAGGCATTATAATATCATTGCTGTTAAATGAGCTGACCTGAGTCGTGTGACTCTGCTGAGCAAAGGCAGAAAGCTCTCCAGCTCCCCCTCTGGTATGGAGGTCCAGAGCAGACTGAGTTTAACAGTGTTGCAGTTCTCGAGAGTGAAGCGCAGGGCAGCGCAGTGAACAGAGTCCAACACTCTGCCGTTCAGGTTGATGTCATTTCCTGCTGAACTCATCAGACTGGACACATACTGAGGAGAGCGAGTCTCGTAAATCTCCATAATGATGGACAGAGTAAAGCTGGGACTCATCCTGAGGAGAATAAGATCATTCAGTAAAATCTACTTGAATCAAACTCACTCAGTGAAAACAGAGAAGAAAAATACATGTTCTTTAATAGAGAAGTGATGGATGCAATGGTTTATCCAGGATGAGAAATGTAAAGTGACCCAGAAATCTAATTTGCCACAGGAGGACAGCCTGCAAACTTTCTAATAGATATTTAGAATAGTGGTTTTCTATTCATGAGTAAATATAAAGTCTGTGGTCAAACATTACTTTAAAAGATTTTGTTCCACAACAAACATTAAAGTCTTATTTTTATTTATTGATTTTATTTACGAGTTTCTTCAATGATTGAGAAATAAGCCAGGGGACTCTGAAAAACCAGAAGCAACTTGTTAGCAACTTATGTTTTTAAAGCACACAGTGGTTTCACAACTCACATTTGAGGAATGTAATATATATATATATATATATATATATATATATATATTAAACTAAATTAAATTGAGGGAAACCATGGCTCTATTCGTGATGAATAATTTTTACCTTTTCAACTTGATTCTCTCTATCAAGGGCAGAAGTTCTCGGATGTTTTCACAAGAGATTTTATTCTTTCTCAAGTCCAACTTCAGATTCAGATCTTGATGTGTCAGATTCAGATCTTGGTGTGTCAGTATGTAATGAATCACTTCCCAGGTCAGTGAGCAGGAAGTCAGATCCTTCGACACTTTCTTCAGGAAAGAGTGTGTCAGTTCATCATCCTGTGCTTCAGACATCACAGAAACCAGCCACTGAAGAGTCTCTTTAGAGAACCTGAGCACACACACACACATCTGGTCAGTTTGTTAAACCGGTTGATTTACTCACAGAAAATGGACCTTGCTGAACACACACAGACCTGATAGTCGCAGGTTCCCGGAGACCCAACAGAGCCGTGAGAGACAGAGCATCTGATTTACACTCAGTAAGATCCAAACACTGAACAGAAAACAGTCTCAGGAGAGACGTCAAGCTGCTCAGGATACGAGAGAGATTTCGCTTCGAGTCTTTTGTGAGCATTGAAAACTCCTCTATCAGTGGAAAAGGACCATTCGATGATCTCAGCGCTCTGAACATCTTCACTACCAGTTCGTCTTCCACACTGTCAAAGACAAAATCAGAGATCATGAGAAACATTCAAACAGTATTTCAGGATGATTTAAAAGTGTGACTGCAGATGATGCAGATGAAACCTCAGTTTGTGCAGGTGTGTGATGTGTTTGAAGAGCAGTTTGAGTCCTCTGAGAGAGATGGCGAGTGTCTTCAGAGTCAGGTTTAGTTTGGAGGGCGAGCGGCCCAGAACTCTCCCCACAGATCTGCAGGAGCTGCTGGGTAATTTCCCACTCAGAGTAACAGTGAAGTCTAAAGCCCGGAGCAGAGGAGTCACCTGATCTGCCTTCACTCTCGGCCCCAACACTTTACATAGTGACGGGATGAACCGATCAGCATTGCTACAGGACGAGGATTTAATCAATGAAAATTATTAAATATAGATATATAAAAGTATCCTGTCATGGTAATCAAACATACTGACTTATGTTTACAATCTGTGGTTGAAAAAGCATACATCATTAATTAAATATAAAGGCATTTAAAATTGTATTTTAAAAGTATTTCACACAAACCTGAGCTGTGAGATGTAGGGCAGACACTGGAGGAATCCCCTCACTTCACTCTCTTCATCTGTCCAGTCTATCAGATCTACTGGTTTATTCTCTGTCTGCAGTTTCAGCACTTCTAGGAGGATGGAGATCTTTCTCTCTGAGAGATTTATTCTCCAGACTGCAGGAGCTGACTGATAAACTGGCTGTAATGCTGGAAGGACACTCCTGCCTGTTTGAGTCTCATAGTCCTTCACATGTGAACACAGATCCAGCAGGAAATCACACTGAGTCCAGGTATAACAATTATTCTCATCACAGGGGAAAGATGTGTAACTGCACACAGATGTTAATAGTTCAGTGTAATTTTCTTCTGTATTTGCATCAAACTCTGATGTTGAAACAAACAGATTCAGCAGAAACTTCACAGCAGTTTCTCTCTTCCCGTCGCTAATGTCAGAAAATCTGTGGAGACACACATAATTATCACTTTATTGTCCAGTGTAGAAGAATATAAAATATGAAAAACATGAAAAGAATATGAAAAACGTGACTCATTGAATTATTACTTATGATAAGTCTTGTATAAAATAATTAGATGACTAACTTATAAGACTAGTCTATGCAACAGTGTTCAATTCTGTTCAATTCTGGTTCATGTTCACATATATATTGTCTTCCTAACACACACTGTACTTTAAAGGAGCTGTATGCAAGAAATTTATTTCAATTAATCATAAATTTTCCCTGATATGTCATTAGACATTAAGAGATCATGTTCATCTCAAATAATTATATCACTGACAACAGCAGTCCGGCCAGGATATTATCATTTAAAAGTGAAGTTGCAGCCCTCAACTGATGTTGATATTGTCATGTTGTGTTTTGGTCTGATGCTCCACCCTCCACCAATCTACCAATCATGGAGTCAGTAGTGTTGTGGCATTTGGGTTGCCAGCTCTTCTCTAGTTACCGCAGCTGCAGATACAAACGTGTCGGAATCGGATAAAAAAATTCTAATGTTGCAAAACCCCCAAAAAACTTGATATAAATCCGAAATACTTTGTTACAAAGTCCGAAATAAATAATGAACAGAAAAAGACTCGTCACTTGCCATTGGAAGCTTCTTGTAGCATCCTACATTCCTGCTGGAACCTGCAGCATATCTGGCAACATTGAGTCATGGGGAAATGCGGGGATACACCCTAATTTGAAAGTGATTGCAGTGCCGGTTTTGAACACAATCTTGCATACAGCTCCTTTAAATTCATTAATTTTATTGTGAGCACTGAATCCAATAATCCAGCATGGTTGGTGTGTTCCTCATGAGACTCTCACCTGAGCTGTGAGATGTAGGGCAGACACTGGAGGAATCCCCTCACTTCACTCTCTTCATCTGTCCAGTCTATCAGCTCTACTGGTTTCTTCTCTGTCTGCAGTTTCAGCACTTCTAGGAGGATGGAGATCTTTCTCTCTGAGAGCTTTATTCTCCAGACTGCAGGAGCTGACTGATAAACTGGCTGTAATGCTGGAAGGACACTCCTGCCTGTTTGAGTCTCATAGTCCTTCACATGTGAACACAGATCCAGCAGGAAATCACACTGAGTCCAGGTATAACAATTATTCTCATCATAGGGGAAAGATGTGTAACTGCACACAGATGTTAATAGTTCAGTGTAATTTTCTTCTGTATTTGCATCAAACTCTGAAGCTGAAACAAACAGATTCAGCAGAAACTTTACAGCAGTTTCTCTCTTCCCGTCGATAATGCCAGAAAATCTGTGGAGACACACATAATTATCACTTTATTGTCCAGTGTAGAAGAATGTAAAATATTGAAAAACGTGACTCATTGAATTATTAATTAATATAAAAATTTTAGGGCTGTGCAAAAATTAATTGCGATTAATCGCATCCAAAATAAAAGTCTGTGTTTACATAATAATATATGTGTGTGTGCTGTATATAATTATTTTGTATATATAAATACACACACATGCATGTATATATATATTTAAGAAAATGTGTTATTCATATATAAAATATTTATATAATATAGATTATGTATATATATATATATATATATATACAGAATTTAAGCGCAAATAATTCTTAAATATATACATGCATGCATAGGTATTTATATATACAAAATAATTATATACAGCACACACAAATATATTATGTAAACACAGACTTTTATTTTGGATGTGATTAATCGCAATTAATTTTTGCAGAGCCCTAAAAAAATTATATAAACATTCGGATTTGACTATTACTTCAGTTTATATTTCAGTTGTAGAGGATGGTTGTGTATTGAATAGTGTGTTGGAAATATAATCGTAAATAAAAAATTTAGTAAATAAAAGTATTTCTGTATAGCTTTTATATTTTGGAATCTAAATAAAAAAATAAAAAGTAAAATAAAAAGTTTGAGTAACTTAATTCATTTCCTCAAACCTTTCATGTCAAGAACATGTAATTGGCACATATATTGAGTTGATATGAAGATAAACCTGCGTCAGACACACAGTTTCTACACTGTTGATTTTCTGATTTGACAGTAACCGCTTAATCTAGAATAGTCAATCAGTAATCACACACACACACACACACGCACACGCACACATACACACACACACACACACACACACACACACAGTGGTAAGACTGCATCAGCAGATGTGAAATAAAAAAAAATTAAAAATACAAGAGTTACACACAAAATGTTTTTATAAAACATAAATTGTAGAGAATCCAAAAGCCTCTATATATTTATATAGTGAGAGCTGGTTACACCATGACATCACACATTTTGTTTTTTAACGCCTCCAGGTGACACTATTCTCACATTAAACATTTTTGTTAAAGAATTCCTTCAAAATTCTAAATAATAGTGAAAAAAAATATTACTAAACCAAAAAATATCACATTAATTTCACTGAAAAAAAAGTTACATTTCAAGGCTTTGGCCACTTTTGACCATGAAGGGATCAAGTGTGAGCCCAAAATGAAGAGACTCAGATAGACTATGCAGAAACCCACTTTAGCTCGATTATAACCGCATATACAGTATAAACGGACTGTGAGCTGCATGAAGCTGATATAATAGAAATACATGAATAAAATCAATCTCTACAGAGACTGACTGAACGAGAGTGAGAGAAGGATTTGAACAACAGATTTACTCACAACACGACTGTAAGCGGCCAGATCATAAACAGAGACGCTTAGTTAAAACTGTGTCATGAGAGAACAGTGTTGGGCTCGTTACTCAAAACATGGATCATTTACTCATTACTAGTTACTCCTTACAAAAATAATATTATTACTTTACTTATTACTCCCGGACAACAGTAATTAATTACACTAGTTACATTACTCTTCCATTACACCTCCGAATAACTGGTAATTGAATAATTTTTGCAGCCTGTGAATTCATGAAAGTTACAAATAAACGAAGATTACAACTGTCTCAAACTGATGACGAGCCACAATTTGATTAAACCCCTTCAGTTATTTAATAAAGCAGCAACATAGAAAATATAAAATAAAGTCTGTATTTTCAGCCGCTATATGATATGGTTTATAATATGTTCTTCTCCGTCTTCAGACAAAGATTTGCTGTGTTGATGATGTCATGAGCGCACACACACAACAACGATTATGAAAATTGATAGGGATGATTGGATTTCTGAATTTCAAATCATTAGTAATTGTGACAAAAAAATGTAATGTTAGTTACACTACTAGTTACCAGAGAAAGTACTAGTTACTGGCCAACACTGCACAAGTCTGAACAACTAGCAGTTAGTTAGGGCGAATCACACTTACTTTTCAGATTCAAATTACACCAATACCTCTTTATGTAACTGATTTAAAACAGTTATGATCAGTCTTGTGTAAAATAATTAGATGACTAACTTGTAAGACTGTGAAGTTTATGCAACAGTGTTTTCAATTCTGGTTCACGTTCACATATATATTGTCTTTCTAACATACACTGAACATTAAATTTATTAATTTTATTGTGAGCACTGAATACAATAATCCAGCATGATTGTTGTGTTCCTCATGAGACTCTCACCTGAGCTGTGAGATGTAGGGCAGACACTGGAGGAATCCCCTCACTTCACTCTCTTCATCTGTCCAGTCTATCAGATCTACTGGTTTCTTCTCTGTCTGCAGTTTCAGCACTTCTAGGAGGATGGAGATCTTTCTCTCTGAGAGATTTATTCTCCAGACTGCAGGAGCTGACTGATAAACTGGCTGTAATGCTGGAAGGACACTCCTGCCTGTTTGAGTTTTATAGTACTTCACATGTGACCACAGATCCAGCAGGAAATCACACTGAGTCCAGATATAACAATTATTCTCATCAAAGGGGAAAGATGTGTAACTGCACACAGATGTTAATAGTTCAGTGTAATTTTCTTCTGTATTTGCATCAAACTCTGAAGCTGAAACAAACAGATTCAGCAGAAACTTTACAGCAGTTTCTCTCTTCCTGTCGATAATGCCAGAAAATCTGTGGAGACACACATAATAATCACTTTATTGTCCAGTGTAGGAGAATATAAAATATTGAATACAAGTAAAAATATAATCCTGAATTGAATATTTTTTTTAAATCAGTATTTCTGTATAGCTTCTATCGTTTGGAATCTAAAAAAAAAAAAAGTTTGAGAACTTTTGAGCAAAATTCCTCTCGATTTCAACCACTGAATTTATGGAGGCGAATTTGTAAAGCGAAATAAAATGGAGCAAAAATTGCCTGTCAAATATTATAGATTGCATTTTTAGACAGAATTCATATTTTGGAAATGAAATCTGAAAGTTCAAAATGGATTATTGAATCTTTAATGATGAAAATGTGTGTGAAATGTTTTGAATTTAAACATTTTAAATAGCTTGAATATACAACCATGTAGACTTTCAGCCATAAAAATGCAAGCCCTAAAAATACAACGCATTAAAATGCAAGCAGGATTTATGCAATGCATATTTTTTTCAAGTAGAGCAATTCAACAAGATTTATTGTTTCAAAAACATTTGTCATTATTTTACTTCCATTTCCATTAAAGTAAAGTTCTATTTTGTCCTGTATTACGTCACATCAGTAATAATAACATTTACACACACTTTAAACATTACATTTCAGTTGGGCTAAAACATTATCAGTCTCTTAAAATGGGTTTGGTGTTTCTGAAGATGGATGATCAGGCAACAGATAATGTGAGTGTATCTTGACTTCATCCAGTATTATATAGAATACAATCAGAATAAAACTGGCCTCATCGTTGTGCACTAACTGTGAAAGTCATCCGGCCACTGAGGGGTCGGCAAAAACCACACTTCAATTCAATGTTTCAATTCTGGGTCACGATCGCATTTATTTTGTCTGCCCAACATATACATTGATTTACTTAATTTTATTGTGAGCTCTGAATACAATAATCCAGCATGATTGTTGTGTTCATCATGAGACTCTCACCTGAGCTGTGAGATGTAGGGCAGACACTGGAGGAATCCCCTCACTTCACTCTCTTCATCTGTCCAGTCTATCAGATCTACTGGTTTCTTCTCTGTCTGCAGTTTCAGCACTTCTAGGAGGATGGAGATCTTTCTCTCTGAGAGCTTTATTCTCCAGACTGCAGGAGCTGACTGATAAACTGACTGTAATGCTGGAAGGACACTCCTGCCTGTTTGAGTCTCATAGTCCTTCACATGTGACCACAGATCCAGCAGGAAATCACATCTCTCATAATTCACAGATGACAACAGTTTCTCCACAGTTTCTTCTATTGTCTCTTTCTGGTGGAGAGCAGCTTGCAGACACAAATCCAGTATGAAAGATCTCTTTCTTTTCTCCCATGATTCAGATGAGTTATTCTGTGGTTCAACAAATCTAAAGAAAGAATCAACAAGATTTAGTTAGAGACGACAAAGGAGACAAATAAAGATTATTTAAATGAATCAAACGGTTTGTCAGACAATACCTAAGGTCAGTGTAATTGAACAGTGAAAAGTGATGAACAAATATTTTTATTATTATCTTTAGTTTTCAGTTTTGCTCTTTGCATTTTTTTGTATCAAAATATCAAATGATTATTGGCAAATCGAATCTCACTAGTTGAAATCAATTACATTTTTCAAACAAAAAAAAAGAGTGCATATCTGCAAATAAACTGTGAAACAATGAAACAAATACAGTAATTTAAAACATTTCCTGAAACCACAAGCTCTAAATTATTAATTAACAGATTCAGTTGCTGTTAATGTAACTCTTTGTCAGACAGACGGTTGCTCCACCATTACGGATGCATTACATTAGTAACACTTTGGCTGCATTTACTGTCCACCAATACCATTTATTCCCCAGATATCTAGAAACCGAAATATATTGACATATCAGTTGTCAGTCTCGCTGTATGGAAGAAAACATTATAAACTCAGGAAACACAGAACCGCTGATCACAAACAGATGTGTTGCCAGCTCCTGTTGTTAGTCACCAAAACACAAGACCAACACGTTTCAGAAGAGGTATTGCCGAGCTGAGACTTCTTTCTAGTTACCAAATTCGATATTAGCAGGGCCTAACTTTCCCCTTTTCTCTGGTGAATCAGCCACAGCAGTATTATATTTGTTAACCAATAGTATTTATGTAATGAGGAATCAAATTTTATTTGATCTTTTGACATATAAGATGTCATTGTACAATGGAAAAAAACTTTCCAGACCCTCCAAAATCGGCATAAACTGAAATCAAGCTGCCAGATGACTTGTTTTCTACTTCCTCCACATTGTGACATTAGACTATAGTAGATATTTGCATCTGACCAACTCCACAACAACACATCAACGCCTACTTTACCATTTCATTTTGATATCCTGCCCAGCAGAGGAAGAACAATGACTTGACAAGAAAGAGAGAGCAGGTCACCCAAGACCATAGAGATACTCATGTTAACAGGCACCTGAAGCTTACTGCAAGTTTAAACTAGTTTTTATCTGATTATTTATTTTTACAAATATTAAGATGTCAGGGAAGTTCTGCACAACCTTCTGAAGGACTCCAGCATTAGGAACGAATGGGTGGTTTATTATTAATGGTTTATTATTAATTATTATTAAACAATGTCTAGGATCATGTTGGAAGATTATGTTTGTTCTGACCATTCCACTACAGACTTGGGTTTGTGATCAGGCACAATTTAATGCAGAGTTTGGAAAGAAACTTTTACTGAAAGATAGAGTAATACAAACTCTGTTATATCTGAAAATAGCAAATCACAAAGCGCAAATAAACAATTTCATAACAAAACAAATGTAAACACAAATTCATAATGCTTTTCTTGTAAATGCAGTTTTATATTTATAGATAATGTTTTCAAAACACACATGTGCAATATTGGAGGCACTGAAACTTTGTCAGACTATCAAATGACTTTAGCCAATCATAACAGCACTCAAACTCAAAGTGTTTGTGACAAAAGTTAAAAAATGTGAGTTGAAAATAATATTTTTTTAATATATAACTGTATTTAAAATAGTGAAATATTAAAATAATTACAAACATCATGTAAAGACCCCTAAAATCTGTTCAACATTGAAAAACAAATGTTGATTTAATCACTTTTCTGCTGTCAGTGTGTTTTGGCTCAATATTAATGTAAATGAGGTCAGTTGCAGTTCATCTCAAGTGAATGTAAACAGTAGGAACTAAAAATCAAAACAACAGATCCGTCTTACAGCTAAAATCTTCAGCTACATTAAAACAATAGAAATTAAGCTTAGAGAATCTGACATAAATGTTTTTGACAACATTGACAATATTTAAATAAACTGAATCAAACTATGAGAGTATTTCCCATGAGAGTCTCACCTGAGCTGTGAGATGTAGGGCAGACACTGGAGGAATCCCCTCACTTCACTCTCTTCATCTGTCCAGTCTATCAGCTCTACTGGTTTCTTCTCTGTCTGCAGTTTCAGCACTTCTAGGAGGATGGAGATCTTTCTCTCTGAGAGCTTTATTCTCCAGACTGCAGGAGCTGACTGATAAACTGGCTGTAATGCTGGAAGGACACTCCTGCCTGTTTGAGTCTCGTAGTCCTTCACATGTGACCACAGATCCAGCAGGAAATCACACTGAGTCCAGGTATAACAATGATTCTCATCATAGGGGAAAGATGTGTAACTGCACACAGATGTTAATAGTTCAGTGTAATTTTCTTCTGTATTTGCATCAAACTCTGAAGCTGAAACAAACAGATTCAGCAGAAACTTTACAGCAGTTTCTCTTTTCCCGTCGATAATGTCAGAAAATCTGTGGAGACACACATAATAATCACTTTATTGTCCAGTGTAGGAGAATATAAAATATTGAATAAAGTGAAAATATAATCCTAAAATTGAATATTTTTTAAAAAAAATAAGTATTTCTGTATAGCTTCTATCTTTTGGAATCTAAAAAAAAAAGTTTGAGAACTTTTGAGCAAAATTAATCTCGATTTCAACCACTAAATTTATTGAGGCTAATTTGTAAAGCGAAATAAAATGGACCGAAAATTGCCAGTCAAATATTATAGATTGTATTTTTAAACAGAATTCATATTTTGGAAATGAAATCTGAAAGTTCAAAATGGATTATTGAATCTTTAATGATGAAAATGTGTGTGAAATGTTTTGAATTTAAACATTTTAAATAGCTTGAATATACAACCATGTAGACTTCAGCCATAAAAATGCAAGCCCTAAAAATACAACGCATTAAAATGCAAGCAGGGTTTATGTGATGCATATTTTTTCAAGTAGTGCAATTCAACAAGATTTATTGTTTCAAAAACATTTGTCATTATTTTACTTCCATTTCCATTAAAGTAAAGTTCTATTTTGTCCTGTATTACGTCACATCAGTAATAATAACGTTTACACACACACTTTAAACATTACATTTCAGTTGGGCTAAAACATTCAGTCTCTTAAAATTGGTTTGGTGTTTCTGAAGATGGATGATCAGGCAACAGATAATGTGAGTGTATCTTGACTTCATCCAGTATTATATAGAATACAATCAGAATACAACTGGCCTCATCGTTGTGCACTAACTGTGAGAGTCATCCGGCCACTGAGGGGTCGGTAAAAACCACACTTCAATTCAATGTTTCAATTCTGGGTCACGATCGCATTTATTTTGTCTGCCCAACATATAGATTGATTTACTTAACCCTTATGTGCTGTTGTGGCTTTTTTCAGCCACTAAGGGGTATTTTTTAGTCTTAATTTGGCCGTAACTTTTTCTTTGTTTCAGCAAATGGAATGATTTTTGGTGACAAATCTTATTTTGACACATATTTTGGGAAAATGCTTTGAAATTTTTCAAAAACTCAACAGTACACTCTGGGCAAATTCACTACCCTTTCGTTATGTTCGTGGCTGAAAAAAGCCACTACTTTAAACTGCTGTAAAAATGTATCAGATAAATATTTTTTTCAAATTTTTTTGCATAAATCTATTAACCGCCCTCAGTCCTGATCAAAACTACTAAATGTTTAAAAAAAATTCAGGATTTTAACTCTTTAATTGCCAAATTCATAAATGATGTCACTGATTTGGGAAAAAAAACACAGAAAATGACTTATTTTCAATATAAAATATGATTGTGGACTGGATTTTTTTTCACCTTTTATCACAGTCTTGGACATGTCAAAGATTAGAAACAACATTGGTTTTGATGCATTGTTAGTTTTTGTGTAGCATCAGATTTTAACTTTTTCTCCCTCATTTACTGTTCGTGGCTGTTTTTGCCCCATTGACTTCCATTATAACCACATTTTTTGATTGCAAAGCCATGACACCATAAAATCATGCATTTTTGATTGTTGATGGTTTTCCCTGTTGGGAAGAGGTAAAATTTGTAATTTTTACTGTTGATAACCAGGTGGAACCATTTAACCCTTTAGACAGGCCTGTGCAAAAAAAAGCTTAGTTTCTGGCTTTTACATGCAGTTATATGGAGTATAATAGCATATTACAGTGTGTATATGTGTGTGTGGGTGTGCGTGAGTGTGTGAGAGAGTGTGAGAACTCACCTTGATGCATCTGAGAAAATAAAAATATACACTTCAGCTCTCAAAACTACATGGAGTAAACAAAAACAAAGTAAGTGTATTTATGCATCTGCTGCCTTTTGATGGTGAGAAATGCAGACTAAACAAAAACAAAGCAAGTGGATATAAACGCTTGTCATTTGATGGTGAGAAGAGCAGCAAGCAACATGAGAGAGGGCTTGACTTGTAGTGAAGTTTTAGAGATGATTATGCAGTCTGACCCCTCCAGCGAGCTGCAGGAGGTATTGTCTTCTCACTCTGACCGCAGACTCAGGACAGTCAGATCCTGGTTTGGATGTGGCACCCTCATCATCATCTCAAGCTTCCACTGAAGGCGAGGAGGATTCAGATGATCCTGGATCTGGATGGACTGGGAGAATCTTGAGAGGGACATGGTGGCTCTGAAAATCGCATGACCACTGCGATCATCCCACAGGCAACGTGTGGACTCCCCTCTGGATCTGAAGACGCTGGCCAAAATCAGTAGCCCCATGCACAGAGATCTGTGGAGTCCACCCCAGTCCAGTTTCTCATTGTGCGGTGCCCATGGAGGTTGGTCATGCTGACAATGAGGTCAGTCGTCTCCTCCGTAAAAAACAGATTGAACACAGAATCCATGTTCTGAACCATTGCAATAGCATTGCGTGTCGGCCCTCGACTCACGCCTCTTGCAGGCTGAAGAAAGGGAATTGTCTCCGCATTGGTGGAAAACCATACTTCACCATTTCTCCCAATCCACCCAGATCCAGGATCCACAGAATCCTCCTGCTTTCAGTGGAAGCTAGAGCTCCACTGAAGGCGAGGAGGATTCAGAGGATCCTGGATCTGTGGACTCCACAGATCTCTGTGCATGGGGCTACTGATTTTGGCCAGCGTCTTCAGATCCAGAGGGGAGTCCACACGTTGCCTGTGGGATGATCGCAGTGGTCGTGGGATTTTCAGAACCACCATGTCCCTCTCAAGATTCTCCCAGTCCATCCAGATCCAGGATCATCTGAATCCTCCTCGCCTTCAGTGGAAGCTTGAGATGATGATGAGGGTGCCACATCCAAACCAGGATCTGACTGTCCTGAGTCTGCGGTCAGAGTGAGAAGACAATACCTCCTGCAGCTCGCTGGAGGGGTCAGACTACATAATCATCTTTAAAACTTCACTACAAGTCAAGCCCTCTCTCATGTTGCTTGCTGCTCTTCTCACCATCAAATGACAAGCGTTTATATCCACTTGCTTTGTTTTTGTTTAGTCTGCATTTCTCACCATCAAAAGGCAGCAGATGCATAAATACACTTACTTTGTTTTTGTTTACTCCATGTAGTTTTGAGAGCTGAAGTGTATATTTTTATTTTCTCAGACACATCAAGGTGAGTTCTCACACTCTCTCACACACTCACGCACACCCACACACACATATACACACTGTAATATGCTATTATACTCCATATAACTGCATGTAAAAGCCAGAAACTAAGCTTTTTTTTGCACAGGCCTGTCTAAAGGGTTAAATGGTTCCACCTGGTTATCAACAGTAAAAATTACAAATTTTACCTCTTCCCAACAGGGAAAACCATCAACAATCAAAAATGCATGATTTTATGGTGTCATGGCTTTGCAATCAAAAAATGTGGTTATAATGGAAGTCAATGGGGCAAAAACAGCCACGAACAGTAAATGAGGGAGAAAAAGTTAAAATCTGATGCTACACAAAAACTAACAATGCATCAAAACCAATGTTGTTTCTAATCTTTGACATGTCCAAGACTGTGATAAAAGGTAAAAAAAAATTCAGTCCACAATCATATTTTATATTGAAAATAAGTCATTTTGTGTTTTTTTTTCCCCCAAATCAGTGACATCATTTATGAATTTGGCAATTAAAGAGTTAAAATCCTGAATTTTAAAAAAAAAATTAGTAGTTTTGATCAGGACTGAGGTCGGTTAATAGATTTATGCAAAAAAATTTGAAAAAAATATCTATCTGATACATTTTTACAGCAGTTTAAAGTAGTGGCTTTTTTCAGCCACGAACATAACGAAAGGGTAGTGAATTTGAACAATGCACAAGGGTTAATTTTATTGTGAGCACTGAATACAATAATCCAGCATGATTGGTGTGTTCCTCATGAGAGTCTCACCTGAGCTGTGAGATGTAGGGCAGACACTGGAGGAATCCCCTCACTTCACTCTCTTCATCTGTCCAGTCTCTCAGATCTACTGGTTTATTCTCTGTCTGCAGTTTCAGCACTTCTAGGAGGATGGAGATCTTTCTCTCTGAGAGATCTATGATCCAGACTGCAGGAGCTGACTGATAAACTGGCTGTAATGCTGGAAGGACACTCCTGCCTGTTTGAGTCTCATAGTCCTTCACATATGAACACAGATCCAGCAGGAAATCACACTGAGTCCAGGTATAACAATTATTCTCATCATAGGGGAAAGATGTGTAACTGCACACAGATGTTAATAGTTCAGTGTAATTTTCTTCTGTATTTGCATCAAACTCTGAAGCTGAAACAAACAGATTCAGCAGAAACTTTACAGCAGTTTTTCTCTTCCCGTCGATAATGCCAGAAAATCTGTGGAGACACACATAATAATCACTTTATTGTCCAGTGTAGGAGAATATAAAATATTGAATAAAGTGAAAATATAATCCTAAAATTGAATATTTTTTTAAAAATAAGTATTTCTGTATAGCTTCTATCTTTTGGAATCTAAAAAAAAAAGTTTGAGAACTTTTGAGCAAAATTAATCTCGATTTCAACCACTAAATTTATTGAGGCTAATTTGTAAAGCGAAATAAAATGGACCGAAAATTGCCTGTCAAATATTATAGATTGTATTTTTAAACAGAATTCATATTTTGGAAATGAAATCTGAAAGTTCAAAATGGATTATTGAATCTTTAATGATGAAAATGTGTGTGAAATGTTTTGAATTTAAATATTTTAAATAGCTTGAATATACAACCATGTAGACTTCAGCCATAAAAATGCAAGCCCTAAAAATACAAAGCATTAAAATGCAAGCAGGGTTTATGCAATGCATATTTTTTCAAGTAGTGCAATTCAACAAGATTTATTGTTTCAAAAACATTTGTCATTATTTTACTTCCATTTCCATTAAAGTAAAGTTCTATTTTGTCCTGTATTACGTCACATCAGTAATAATAACGTTTACACACACACTTTAAACATTACATTTCAGTTGGGCTAAAACATTATCAGTCTTTTAAAATTGGTTTGGTGTTTCTGAAGATGGATGATCAGGCAACAGATAATGTGAGTGTATCTTGACTTCATCCAGTATTATATAGAATACAATCAGAATACAACTGGCCTCATCGTTGTGCACTAACTGTGAAAGTCATCCGGCCACTGAGGGGTCGGTAAAAACCACACTTCAATTCAATGTTTCAATTCTGGGTCACGATCGCATTTATTTTGTCTGCCCAACATATACATTGATTTACTTAATTTTATTGTGAGCACTGAATACAATAATCCAGCATGATTGGTGTGTTCCTCATGAGAGTCTCACCTGAGCTGTGAGATGTAGGGCAGACACTGGAGGAATCCCCTCACTTCACTCTCTTCATCTGTCCAGTCTCTCAGATCTACTGGTTTCTTCTCTGTCTGCAGTTTCAGCACTTCTAGGAGGATGGAGATCTTTCTCTCTGAGAGATCTATGATCCAGACTGCAGGAGCTGACTGATAAACTGGCTGTAACGCTGGAAGGACACTCCTGCCTGTTTGAGTCTCATAGTCCTTCACATGTGACCACAGATCCAGCAGGAAATCACACTGAGTCCAGGTATAACAATGATTCTCATCATAGGGGAAAGATGTGTAGCTGCACACAGATGTTAATAGTTCAGTGTAATTTTCTTCTGTATTTGCATCAAACTCTGAAGCTGAAACAAACAGATTCAGCAGAAACTTTACAGCAGTTTCTCTTTTCCCGTCGATAATGTCAGAAAATCTGTGGAGACACAAACATAATAATCACTTTATTGTCCAGTGTAGGAGAATATAAAATATTGAAAAAAGTGAAAATATAATCCTAAAATTGAATATTTTTTTAAAAACAAGTATTTCTGTATAGCTTCTATCTTTTGGAATCTAAAAAAAAAAGTTTGAGAACTTTTGAGCAAAATTAATCTCGATTTCAACCACTAAATTTATTGAGGCTAATTTTTAAAGCGAAATAAAATGGACCGAAAATTGCCTGTCAAATATTATAGATTGTATTTTTAAACAGAATTCATATTTTGGAAATGAAATCTGAAAGTTCAAAATGGATTATTGAATCTTTAATGATGAAAATGTGTGTGAAATGTTTTGAATTTAAACATTTTAAATAGCTTGAATATACAACCATGTAGACTTCAGCCATAAAAATGCAAGCCCTAAAAATACAACGCATTAAAATGCAAGCAGGGTTTATGTGATGCATATTTTTTCAAGTAGTGCAATTCAACAAGATTTATTGTTTCAAAAACATTTGTCATTATTTTACTTCCATTTCCATTAAAGTAAAGTTCTATTTTGTCCTGTATTACGTCACATCAGTAATAATAACGTTTACACACACACTTTAAACATTACATTTCAGTTGGGCTAAAACATTCAGTCTCTTAAAATTGGTTTGGTGTTTCTGAAGATGGATGATCAGGCAACAGATAATGTGAGTGTATCTTGACTTCATCCAGTATTATATAGAATACAATCAGAATAAAACTGGCCTCATCGTTGTGCACTAACTGTGAAAGTCATCCGGCCACTGAGGGGTCGGCAAAATCACACTTCAATTCAATGTTTCAATTCTGGGTCACGATCGCATTTATTTTGTCTGCCCAACATATACATTGATTTACTTAATTTTATTGTGAGCTCTGAATACAATAATCCAGCATGATTGTTGTGTTCATCATGAGACTCTCACCTGAGTTGTGAGATGTAGGGCAGACACTGGAGGAATCCCCTCACTTCACTCTCTTCATCTGTCCAGTCTATCAGATCTACTGGTTTCTTCTCTGTCTGCAGTTTCAGCACTTCTAGGAGGATGGAGATCTTTCTCTCTGAGAGATCTATGATCCAGACTGCAGGAGCTGACTGATAAACTGACTGTAATGCTGGAAGGACACTCCTGCCTGTTTGAGTCTCATAGTCCTTCACATGTGAACACAGATCCAGCAGGAAATCACATCTCTCATAATTCACAGATGACAACAGTTTCTCCACAGTTTCTTCTATTGTCTCTTTCTGGTGGAGAGCAGCTTGCAGACACAAATCCAGTATGAAAGATCTCTTTCTTTTCTCCCATGATTCAGATGAGTTATTCTGTGGTTCAACAAATCTAAAGAAAGAATCAACAAGATTTAGTTAGAGACGACAAAGGAGACAAATAAAGATTATTTAAATGAATAAAAACAGTTTGTCAGACAATACATAAGGTCAGTGTAATTGAACAGTGAAAAGTGATGAACAAATAATTTTATTATTATCTTTAGTTTTCAGTTTTGCTCTTTGATTTTTTTGGTAGCAAAATATCAAATGATTATTGGCAAACAGAACCACACTATTGAAATCAATTACATTTTTCAAACAAAAAAAGAGTGCATATCTGCAAATAAACTGTGAAACAATGAAACAAATACAGCAATTTAAAACATTTCCTGAAACCAGAAGTTCTAAATTATTAATTAACAGATTCAGTTGCTGTTGTATTTATTGTATTTATTTATTTCTTCGGTCAGTCATTTAGAAATCATGTCATAAATCATGTAACACATGTTAATGTAACTCTTTGTCCGACAGACGGTTGCTCCACCATTACAGATGCATTAGTAACACTTTGGCTGCATTTACTGTCCACCAATACCATTTATTCCCCAGATATCTAGAAACCGAAATATATTGACATATCAGTTGTCAGTCTCGCTGTATGGAAGAAAACATTATAAACGCAGGAAACACAGAACCGCTGATCACAAACAGATGTGTTGCCAGCTCCTGTTGTTAGTCACCAAAACACAAGACCAACACGTTTCAGTAGAGGTATTGCCGAGCTGAGACTTCTTGTCTAAATCATACATTCCTAGTTACCAAAGTCGATATTAGCAGGGCCAAACTTTCCCCTTTTCTCTGATGAATCAGCCACAGCAGTTTTATGTTTGTTAATCAATAGTATTTATGGAATGAGGAATCAAATCTTTGATCGTTTGACCAACACAGTCTCATCCCAAAAAGTCATATAACTGACGTTTTGGGACGTCTTTTGACCATACGTCAATATCCGCCTTTTTAGGGCCCCCTTAAACGTCGGTAGATGGCGATCCCGGGCCGTCATACAACTGATGCTTTACCTTTAACGTCAGTTAGGTGACGGGTTAGGTTTAGGTCTGGGGTAGAGTTGGGATCCCATAACCTCATCTACCGACGTTTAAGGGGGCCCTAAAAAGGCGAATATTGACGTATGGTCAAAAGACGTCCCAAAACGTCAGTTATATGACGTCTTGGGATGAGACTGGGTTGGTTTGACATATAAGATGTCATTGTACAATGGAAAAAAAATTACTCTTCAGACCCCCACAAATCGGCATGAACTGAAATCAAGCTGCCAGATGACTTGTTTTCTACTTCCTCCACATTGTGACATTAGACTATAGTAGATATTTGCATCTGACCAACTCCACAACAACACATCAACGCCTACTTTACCATTTCATTTTGATATCCTGCCCAGCAGAGGAAGAACAATGACTTGACAAGAAAGAGAGAGCAGGTCACCCAAGACCATAGAGATACTCATGTTAACAGGCACCTGAAGCTTACTGCAAGTTTAAACTAGTTTTTATCTGATTATTTATTTTTACAAATATTAAGATGTCAGGGAAGTTCTGCACAACCTTCTGAAGGACTCCAGCATTAGGAACGAATGGGTGGTTTATTATTAATGGTTTATTATTAATTATTATTAAACAATGTCTAGGATCATGTTGGAAGATTATGTTTGTTCTGCCCATTTCACTACAGACTTGGGTTTGTGATCAGGCACAATTTAATGTAGAGTTTGCAAAGAAATGTTTATTGAAAGATAAGCAATGCCAACTCTATTGTATCGGAAAACAGCAAATCACAAAGCGCAAGTAAACAACTTCATAACAAAACAAATGTAAACACAAATTCATAATGCTTTCCTTGTAAATGCAGTTTTATATTTATAGATAATGTTTTCAAAACACACATGTGCAATATTGGAGGCACTGAAACTTTTTCCTATGAAATGACCTTAGCCAATCATAACAGTGGCCATTTGTGGCCAAGTCTTAAAGGAGATGCATAGCACTCAAACCAAGTGTTTGTGACAAAAGGTCAAAATGAGGGTTGAAAAAAATATTTTTGAATATATGACCGTATTTAAAATAGTGAAAATATTAAAATAATTACAAACAACACATAAAGACCCCTTACATCTGTTCAAGTGCACGGTCATGATAAAATAGGTTGATTTCGTCACTTTTTTGGCCCTCATTTATCAAAAGTGCGTACACCAAATTTCCAGCGTACACTCAAAACCACGGTGACTTTGAGATTTATCAATATGGACATTGGCGTACGGAATGCTCAAATCCTACACCAGCTCAGGAGGTGTGTTGTACGCACGTTTTGAGTTAATGCGGAAATGCGCAGATAAATTCCTAACACCACAAAACCCACTGGCAAACTAAAATATATGATATATTATGACCCACTGTAAAAACAACATAGTAATAATTATAAACTTTATTATTTATTTTTGTGCAAGATGGACTTCAATGTTTAATTTGTGAGACTTTACCAAGGCATTTGATTTGTAGCATTCCTTCAGTTGCGAGCCTGTGGACTTTACCCTGGGTAAGGTACTTTACGTTTCAGGGTAAGCCCCGGCAGGTGCGCACGGACTGGGTTCGGTAATGAAAGGCTTTCAATGATCAAAAAATAATTCAGACTGACAAAATAATAAAAAATATATTCCTCTTCTTTTACATAAAATTATAATACAAATAATAATAATAACGACATTCTTCTTCTAAATAACAAGCGCCATTAATAATACAAATCATAATATTAAGAAGAAGAATATTGCAAATTGTCATGCAATTATTAATGTTAATGAATGGTACTCCACAACACACCATCATCATCACTATTGTACACCCCAATACATGTGAAGTGATTCTAAATTGAATGCTATTTCAAAAGACGTGCTGTAAAATAATGCGTTGTGATAGGTCATTTCGGCACACGTCAGAGAACTTTCTCTTCTTTGCCGTCTTCCGTGTATCCATGGCGTAAAATGGGGGCGTGGGGGGAGCGTAGATTTGAATATTTAGGGGCGTGTTATTCTAATGACGATCGTTTTCGGCCGCGGGATTTATCAAGGGCAGGCATTGCGTACACCTGGATTTCAAAGGTACGCACATCTTCATAAATCAGGCGGTGAGAGGAGTGTAAGCATAATCTTACGCCAACATATACACCCGTTTCTACACAAGATTGATAAATGAGGGCCAGTGTGTTTTGGCTCAATATTAATGTAAATGCAGTCTAAAAATCAAAACAACAGATCCGTCTTACAGTTAAAATCTTCAGCTACATTAAAACAATAGAAATTAAGCTTAGAGAATCTGACATAAATGCATTTCTAATTAATTTAAATTAACCATATTACTTATTAATATATAATTTAAATGTGAAGATTAAAATAAACTGAATCAATATGAGTGTATTTTCCCCATGAGACTCTCACCTGAGCTGTGAGATGTAGGGCAGACACTGGAGGAATCCCCTCACTTCACTCTCTTCATCTGTCCAGTCTCTCAGATCTACTGGTTTCTTCTCTGTCTGCAGTTTCAGCACTTCTAGGAGGATGGAGATCTTTCTCTCTGAGAGATCTATGATCCAGACTGCAGGAGCTGACTGATAAACTGACTGTAATGCTGGAAGGACACTCCTGCCTGTTTGAGACTCATAGTCCTTCACATGTGACCACAGATCCAGCAGGAAATCATACTGATCAATCTGATCCTCAGTATCATAATAATCCTCATCAAAGGGGAAAGATGTGTAGCTGCACACAGATGTTAATAGTTCAGTGTAATTTTCTTCTGTATTTGCATCAAACTCTGAAGCTGAAACAAACAGATTCAATAGAAACTCCACAGCAGTTTCTCTCTTTCCGTCGATAATGCCAGACAATCTGTGGAGACACACATAATTATCACTTTATTGTGTGTAGGAGAATATATAATATTGAAAAACGTGACTCATTGAATTATTAATTAATATAAAAATATATATGAACATTGGGATTTAACTATTCATTCAGTTTATATTTCAGTTGTAGAGGCTGGTTGGTTTTAGAGTGGTGTGTTATAAATATAATCCTATAATAAATATTTAGTAAATAAAATAATTTCTATATTGCTTTTATTTTTCAGAATCTTAAAAAAAGAAAAGAAAAAAAAGTCTGAGTAACTGAATTCATTTCCTCAAACCTTTAATTTCCAGAACATGTAATTTGCACATATATTGAGTTGATATGAAGATAAACCTGCGTCAGACACAGTTTCTACACTGTTGATTTTCTGATTTGACAGTAAACACTTAATCTAGAGCTCCATTACAGTCAATCAGTAATATCACACACACACACACACACACACACACACACACACACACAATGTGTTTATAAAACATAAATTGGAGAGAATCCAAAAGCCTCTATATATTTATATAGGGAGAGCTGGTTACACCATGACATCACACATTTTGTTTTTTAACGCCTCCAGGTGACACTATTCTTACATTAAACATCATTTTTTTTTAAAATGCTTTTTGCATTTACTGAAAAAAAAAAAAAATATATATATATATATATATATATATATATATTCATATTAATTAATGGAAAAAATAGCTCATAATATTTTTTTTTTAATAAAAATTGCATTGTGTCATAAAATCCCCTCAAATTTATAAATAATAATCAAAAAATATTAATAAACAAAAAAAACATATTACATTGATTTCCCTGAAGAAATAGTTACATTTCAAGGCTTTGGTCACTTTTGACCATGAAGGGATCAAGTGTGAGCGCAAAATGAATAGGCTCAGATAGACTATGCAGAAACCCACTGTACATTATATCCGCATATATAAACAGACTGTGAGCTACATGAAGCTGATATAATAGAAATACATGAACAAAATCAATCTCTACAGAGACTGAACAAGAGTGAGAGAAGGATTTGAACAACAGATTTACTCACAACACGACTGTCAGCGGCCAGATCATAAACAGAGACGCTTAGTTAAAACTGTGTCATGAGAGAACAGTGTTGGGCTCGTTACTCAAAACATGGATCATTTACTCATTACTAGTTACTCCTTACAAAAATAATATTATTACTTTACTTATTACTCCCGGACAACAGTAATTAATTACACTAGTTACATTACTCTTCCATTACACCTCCAAATAACTGGTAATTGAATAATTTTTGCAGCCTGAGAATTCATGAAAGTTACAAATAAATGAAGAGTACAACTGTCTCAAACTGATGACGAGCCATGATTTGTTTAAACCCCTTCTGTTATTTAATAAAGCAGCAACATAGAAAATATAAAATAAAGTCTGTATTTTCAGCCGCTATATGATGTGGTTTATAAATGTTCTTCTCCGTCTTCAGACAAAGACTTGCTGCGTTGATGTCATGAGCGCGCACACACACACACACACACACACACACACACACACACACACACACACACACACACACACACACACACACACACACACAGCGATTATGAAAATTGATAGGGATGATTAGATTTCTGAATTTCAAATCATTAGCAACTGTGACAAGAAAATAAATTTTATTAGTTACACTACTAGTTACCAGAAAAAGTAATATAACTGTAACACATCACTACTAGCCTATCTAGTTACTGGCCAACACTGACTGAACAACTAGCAGTTAGTTAGAGCGAATCACACTTACTTTTCAGATTCAAATTACACCAATACCTCTTTATGTAACTGCTTTAAAACAGTTATGATCAGTCTTGTGTAAAATAATTAGATGACTAAATTGTAAGACTAGTCTATGAAGTTTATGCAACAGTGTTTTCAATTCTGGTTCATGTTCACAAATATATTGTCTTCCAAACACACACTGTACATTAAATTCATTCATTTTATTGTGAGCTCTGAATACAATAATCCAGCATGGTTGGTGTGTTCCTCATGAGAGTCTCACCTGAGCTGTGAGATGTAGGGCAGACACTGGAGGAATCCCCTCACTTCACTCTCTTCATCTGTCCAGTCTATCAGATCTACTGGTTTCTTCTCTGTCTGCAGTTTCAGCACTTCTAGGAGGATGGAGATCTTTCTCTCTGAGAGCTTTATTCTCCAGACTGCAGGAGCTGACTGATAAACTGGCTGTAATGCTGGAAGGACACTCCTGCCTGTTTGAGTCTCATAGTCCTTCACATGTGACCACAGATCCAGCAGGAAATCACATCTCTCATAATTCACAGATGACAACAGTTTCTTCACAGTTTCTTCTATTGTCTCTTTCTGGTGGAGAGCAGCTTGCAGACACAAATCCAGAATAAAAGATCTCTTTCTTTTCTCCCATGATTCAGATGAGTTATTCTGTGGTTTAACAAATCTAAAGAAAGAATAAACAACAATCAGTTAGAGACGACAAAGGAGACAAATAAAGATTATTTAAATTAATTAAACAGTTTGTCAGACAATACCTAAGGTCAGTGTAATTGAACAGTGAAAAGTGATGAACAAATATTTTTTATTATTATCTTTAGTTTTCAGTTTTGCTCTTTGCATTTTTTGTAGCAAAATATCAAATGATTATTGGCAAATAGAATCACACTAGTTGAAATCAATTACATTTTTCAAACAAAAAAAGAGTGGATATCTGCAAATAAACTGCGAAACAATGAAACAAATACAGTAATTTAAAACATTTCCTGAAATCAGAAGTTCTAAATTATTAATTAACAGATTCAGTTGCTGTTTATGTAACTCTTTGTCAGACAGACGGTTGCTCCACCATTACAGATGCATTATTAAACATTTTGGCTGCATTTACACTGTCCACCAATACCATTTATTCCCCAGATTTCTAGAAACCGAAATATATTGACATATCAGTTGTCAGTCTCGCTGTGTGGAAGAAAACATTATAAACGCAGGAAACACAGAACCGCTGATCACAAACAAAAAATGTGTTGCTGTACCTGTTAGTGTAACGGTCACCAGGTGGAGTGCCCTTGAGAGTCACCAGAGGGCACTCCACACCAGATGTTCATGTTTCACTCATAACTACATTTCCCAGAACTCACTGCCCGGACTTATCAGCACTCATCTCATTCACCTGGTTCTCATTGTCTTGTTCAGTTCACACTATAAATACCTTGTGTTCTCATTCACTCATTGCGAAGTCGGCATTTACTGTTAGTTGCAATTCTGAGCGTTATCCTCCTGTGTTCATGTGATTCCTGTATTTTGACCTGTGGATTGTTTATCGTTGCTGACCCTTTTCTGCCTGCCCTGACCCTGGACTGTTTCACTGGACTCTGATTCTCGCTGCCTGCCTCGACCCTCTGCCTGTATCTGGTTTTTCTCTGCCTTGTCTCCACTGCCCTGTTTGCTGTTGTTTGATCCCTGCCTGTTTGACTTCGTCTAATAAATGCTGCATATGGATTCCCTGGTGTCTGCTGCATCGTAAAAGTTAGTCATCAACAGATGTGTTGCCAGCTCCTGTTGTTAGTCACCAAAACACAAGACCAACATGTTTCAGTAGAGGTATTGCCTAGCTGAGACTTCCTATCTAAATCATACATTCCTAGTTACCAAATTCGATATTAGCAGGGCCAAACTTTTCCCTTTTCTCTGGTGAATCAGCCAAATTATACCATGGTCTGGGTGACTACTCGATTCTGATTGGCTGCAGGGTGTCCGTTAAAAAGTGATAGAGGACACCTAGTAAAGTAGTTCTGGTGAAACTGCCTGTTTACCATTCGAAATGAATAAATAAATGCGCTGCCTACAACAGCTGTGAGTAACCATAGCAACAGGCAGTCAAAGTATCTGTTAACAATTTGCTCTATCAAAACAAACGTCTAACGTTATTTAGATATTACATACTTATACAACAATGAGCGACTTCGTTATTTCTTTTAACATTTATGGAGAATATGACAACTTTGATGACTGGGATGCTGCTGAAGAAAGAAAAAATGTAAATAAAACGGAGAAACGACACAAAGAGATAACACCAGGAGAATTGAATAAAATGGAAGACGAAAAAGATGAGATCAACACGAAACAAAAATAAGAAATGGGCAGTAAATACACTCAGAGACTTTATTTTTCCAAAAAAAAAATAAAAAAATGGACTCCAGCTTTGAAAATTACACCGCTGCTGCTCTGAATGAGACCCTGCGGGAGTTTTACGCATAGACGCAGCTGTCCAGACAACCAAGGCAGGAGGAGAGTACAGCGTTTCAAGCCTAAGGAGCCTGTTTGATTAATTGTTTTATGTGTAATAAAAAAATAACTATGCCTACCTTTGTGTTTCATGAAAAAAAAAAAAAAATGCATTTTTGAACCTGAAGGGTTCTACAAGCTGAGCGGACTATAAATAGCCGCTTTCCGACCAAGTGGTTACAGGAACTTAGTTATAGGAACTGTCCACTTCTAAACCGTTCTAAGAACTACTCTCCCCCAAACTCGGTTTTGCTGCTTGCGTTCGCACTGGCCAAGTGGCTATAGGAACTGGTACGCAAGCACGGCGACGGTCTTACAACAAACCAGCATGGAGGAGGCTATTGCAATGTTCCTGGTTCCTGTTCTGCCTTGCCGGGACCTTAATAACGGAGAATGAACGGCGGCGTTTAAAGATTATGCTTGAGTTCTGTACAGGGAAACACAGAAGACGAAGGCTCCAGCGTAATATGATATTAAGTAATATGATGGAAGAAGAAAAAAGAGCCGAGCGCAGGAGGCAAACAAAACGATGGGTAAGTTTAGCTATTATTAGCAATTAGCTGGTTGAATGCGTTATGTTTGTCTTAATCCTCGTTGTAATGTTTTGCAAAAACACACAGCATATGGCAGACAGCGCGCTACAAGTTACGTGTTGACAGTGGGCATGACTTATAAGTTAAACCAATCAACGTAGACCTAGGGAATTGAAATTGAATTGAAAGCCTTTATTGTCATTGTACCAGTACAATGAGATTTGGAGAGCAACTCTCTAAAAGTGCACACATAAATAACACATGCATACATATACAATACATTAGTGCAAGTCTGAGTGTAGGTTGAGTATGGTGACAGCTTTGGGGAAGAAGCTATCCCTGAGTCTGTTTGTTCTGACCCGTATTGACCTGAAGCGCCTGAGGGCAACAGGTTAAAGAGATGGCAGCCGGGGTGGGTGGTGTCCCTCAGGATGTTTCTAGCCCTGTTGAGACAACGGGAGTTGTAGATGGCAGTCAAAGAGGGCAGAGGGCAGCCAATTATTTTTTGTGCAGTGTTTGTCACCCTCTGCAGTCGCTTCCTGAATTGAGGCTGGTCGTGGGTGACTTTTTAGGGATCGGGATGATTATAGCAGACTTCAAGCAGGGTGGAATGACAGCTTGTTCCAGAGACAGGTTGAAGATGTCTGTAAAGACCTGTGATAGCTGCCAAGCACATGCCTTGAGCACCTTCCCAGGTACCCCATCTGGACCAGCAGCCTTTCTGGGGTTCACTGCACAGAGTGCCCGCCACACATCCTGTGCGTCAAGAGTAAGTGGGGGGGAGGGGTGCTGGGGAGCTAGTTGGGGTTGTGATGGTTGTTGAAGTGATGAGACTGGATGCTGTGTTTGAGACTCAAAGCGGGCAAAGAAGCTGTTCAGCTCCTCTGCCAGTCCCGCATCCAAATTCCCGGGTGTCACAGCACAGCCTCTGTAGTTGGTAATGGTCTGTATGCCCCGCCACACTTGCCTGGGGTTGTTGAGCTGTTCCTCTATCCTCCTCTTATATTCGACTTTAGCAGTCCTAATGCCTCTCCTCAGGTTGGCACGAGCGGCGCTGTACGATGTTCTGTCGCCTGACCTGAAGGCTGAGTCACGGGCCCGGAGGAGCATGCGGACCTGGCACGTCATCCAGGGTTTCTGGTTTGAGGACACCCAGATGCACTTTTCCACAGTGACATTCCCAATACAGTACTTGATGTAGGACAGTACTGTGTCTGTGAATATTTCCAGGTCTTCGTGGTAGAAGGCTTCCCACTGTGTGTTATCGAAGCAGTCCTGTAATCGGTGGAGGGCGTCCTCGGGCCAGGTGGTGATGGTCTTTTTTGTGGGCTTTGTTTGTCGCCTGAGGGGGGCATATGCTGGAGTGAGGAGCAGGGAGAGGTGGTCTGACCGGCCCAGGTGGGGAAGGGGTACAACTCTGTACGCATGCTTGATGTTAGAATATACATGATCCAGAGTGTTTTCCCCTCTTGTAGGGCATTTTACATATTGGTGGAATTTTGGTAATACAGTCTTGAGATTTACCTTATTGAAGTCCCCTGCAATAATGTGGACTCCACTGGGGTGGGCGCGTTGGTGAGTATTGATGGCATTTAGCAGCAGAGAGCCGTGTTTACATTAGCGTCTGGTGGTCTGCATCTCACCGACATAAACTCCAAGTCAGGAGAACAGTGTCTGTCCAAGATAGTGCTGTTATTACACCAGCCTTCATGCACGTAGATGCAGAGTCCACCTCCTCTGCTCTTCCCGACGTCACTGTTTCTGTCCCATCTGTGTAGCGTGCGGCCTGCTAGCTGCACCGTGGCATCAGGGATTTGTGTACGTAGCCATGTCTCTGTGATCATAAGCACACAGCAATCGCGAACATAACGATTTCCAGCCAGCTGTATTTCCAAATCGTCCGTTTTGTGTACCATGGATCTGGCGTTTGTAAGGTAGAGGCTCGGCAGCGGAGGTTTGAGTGGCTGTTTCCTTAGCTTGAGCAGTAGCCCAGCCCTGCAGCCTCGTTTTTGTTTTTGACGTCTGCGTTTTTGCGTCGCCGTCTGCGTCGCCTGCCAGACCCGATAACAATCCACGGAGATCCCGCTGGTCTCGCTATCTCGTCCGGAATGTTGTGAGTGCGGTGAAAGTCGCCGGAGATGGTCACCTTCAGTTGGAAACCGATGTCCAGTAAGTCCAGACGACTGTAGTGTTTCGTAGTTTGAGTAGACGAACGTACAGCATACAATAAACACAAAAAGAAGCACAAATAGGGAGAGCTGTGAGCCGCTGCATCTGTGCGCGCCGCCATCTTACGCCATTTTCATCCAGTGAACCAAAGGGAACTAAAAAAGTCCTCGCTCGACTAGGTACTGAAAGAGTTATAGGAACTACGGTCTGAGGAACTAAAAAAATCCCCAATTTAGTCCGGTCGGAACACGAGAAAAAAAGGGTTATAGGAATGTTAGGTTCTAGGAACTGCAAAAGTCCCTCCGGTCAGAAAGCGGCTAATATCTCCGGTTGCTAAATAAACCGTCAGGCAAGTTATTATTTGTAAATATAGATTTAGCCTAATTAAAATATAAACTAATGTTTTAAAAATGTTTTATTTGGCAAGTGACCATGGTATAAGCGGGTTAATGCCCTCCGAGGGGGGCATTAATTCGGAGGGAAGTAGGGTTAATGCCCTACTTCGGCAGAGGCAACCGTCCTCTGCTGCGCGTCGGCCGGTTCACGCCTCGCCGTCGTCCATTAAAACCTGACAATGGACACCTCGTCGGGCATTAACCCTTACGTATTACGTATGTTTGTTGACCAATAGTATTTATGGAATGAGGAATCATTTTTTTTTTTACCTTTTGACATACATGATGTCATTGTACAATGAAAAAAACAACTCTTCAGACCTCCAAAAATCAGCATAAATTGAAATCAAGCTGCCAGATGACTTGTTTTCTACTTCCTCCACATTGTGACATTAGACTAGTAGATATTTGCATCTGACCAACTCCACAACAACACATCAATGCCTACTTTACCATTTCATTTTGATAACCTGCCCAGCAGAGGAAGAACAACAGCATGACAAGAAAGAGAGAGCAGGTCACCCAAGACCATAGAGCTACTCATGTTAACAGGCACCTGAAGCTTACTGCAAGGTTTAAACTAGTTAAATAATAAAATGTCATAGCCTGGATGCCAGCCCGAACTCCGCCCACAACATTTTTTGGTCGGGAAATTCGGTCTGGACTCGATCCATTGAGGAGTAACTATGATCAGACAAGAAACGTTTGATCCAATCAAATTGCCAGGGAGGGCTTTATACAATGATGGGCAGGTGATCGGCAGGGACGTAATCATCACGTTATCAAAGTGCGCTTAACTGGTTTCCCAGCAGAGATGACTGCAGCTGGAGAATTGAGATGTATAGATTCCACTGTCGCGTCTGTTGTGAAATAAATCGACAGCGCATTCATTTTATTAGACAAACAGAAAACTGTAATCAAGGCATTTGTCGATCGGAAAGATATTTTTGCTGTCCTTCCTACATGATTCGGCAAAAGTGTAACTTATCAGCTGGCTCTGACGGTCGTTAAGAAGATGGGACGTAATGAAAAGCCTGTGGTTGTTGTGGTTTCTCCTTTGGTGGCACTCATGGAGGACCAAGTAAAAGAAGCAACACTCGTTATTTTACTACTAAAATAAGTAAAGTTAGGCTAAGTTCTGTATTTGAAAACTGTATGCAAAGGAGTTGACTTACTGCGTTGCTCTGATTGGTTGTAGGTTTACCGACTATCCAATTGAGTGCAGAGTTGTTGTTTTTTTCCTGGTTCGGTTACTACACCCCACATAATCAAAGCCCAACGGAGGAGTTTCAGACTCACATTCCAACAAGAATATGAGTATGACGAAGTCAGGCTAAAGATGTCAGGGAAGATCTACACAGGCTTCTGAAGGACTCCAGCATTAGGAACAAATGGATGGTTTATTATTAAACAATGTCTAGGATCATGTTGGAAGATTTTGTTTGTTCTGCCCATTTCACTACAGACTTGGGTTTGTGATCAGGCACAATTTAATGCAGAGTTTGCAAAGAAACGTTTATTGAATGATAGAGCAATGCCAACAATATTGTATCGGCAAACAGCAAATCACTAAGCGCAAGTAAACAACTTCACAACAAAACAAATGTAAACACAAATTCATAATGCTTTCCTTTGTAAATGCAGTTTTATATTTATAGATAATGTTTTCAAAACACACATGTGCAATATTGGAGGCACTGATACTTTTTCCTATGAAATGACCTTAGCCAATCATAACAGTGACCAGTCTTAAAGGAGATGCATAGCATATAAACCAAGTGTTTGTGACAAAAGGTCAAAATGAGGCTTGAAAATAATATTTTTGAATATATGACTGTATTTAAAATAGTAAAAATATTAAAATAATTACAAACAACACGTAAAGACCCATTATATCTGTTCAAGTGCACGGTCATGATTAAATAGGTTGATTTCGTCACTTTTCTGCTGTCAGTGTGTTTTGGCTCAATAGTAATGTAAATGCAGTCAGTTCAATCTCAAGTGAATGTAAACAGTGGGAACTAAATATCAAAACAACAGATCTGTCTTACAGTCTCACAGCTAAAATCTTCAACTACATTAAAACAATAGAAATTAAGCTTACAGAATCTGACATAAATGTTTTTCTAATTAATTTAAATTAACTATATTATGTATTAATGCATTTAAATGACAATATTTAAATAAACTGAATCACACTATGAGTGTATTTGCTCATATGACTCTCACCTGAGCTGTGAGATGTAGGGCAGACACTGGAGGAATCCCCTCACTTCACTCTCTTCACCTGTCCAGTCTCTCAGCTTTACTGGTTTCTTCTCTGTCTGCAGTTTCAGCACTTCTAGGAGGATGGAGATCTTTCTCTCTGAGAGCTTTATGATCCAGACTGCAGGAGCTGACTGATAAACTGGCTGTAATGCTGGAAGGACACTCCTGCCTGTTTGAGTCTCATAGTCCTTCACATGTGAACACAGATCCAGCAGGAAATCACACTGAGTCCAGGTATAACAATTATCCTCATCACAGGGGAAAGATGTGTAACTGCACACAGATGTTAATAGTTCAGTGTAATTTTCTTCTGTATTTGCATCAAACTCTGAAGCTGAAACAAACAGATCCAGCAGAAACTTCACAGCAGTTTCTCTCTTCATGTAGATAATGCCAGAAAATCTGTGGAGACACACATAATTATCACTTTATTGTCCAGTGTAGGAAAATATAAAATATTGAAAAACGTGACTCATTGAATTATTAATTAATATAAAAATATATATGAATGATGAACATTGGGATTTAACTATTCATTCAGTTTATATTTCAGTTGTAGAGGCTGGTTGTGTATAGAGTTGTGTGTTAGAAATATAATCCTATTATAATTCTATAATTTAATCCTATTATAATTCTGTCATTCAAGGCATTATGGTTGGATGTGAGTTTATCTGAAGTAATCACTGTTTGTACTTGGTACATAATTTGTATTAAATTGGCGGGTAACAAAATAAAAGAAATATAATCCTAAATAAAATCATCCGCTGCGCGTCGGCCAGTTCACGCCTCGCCGTCGTCCTCGTCCATTAAAACCTGACAATGGACACCTCGAAGGGCATTAACCTGCTTATACCATGGTCACTTGCCAAATAATTTTTTTTAAAAAACATTAGCTGCTAGTTTATATTTTAATTAGGCTAAATCAAGTTTTTACAAATAATAACTCGCCTGGTTTATTTAGCAACCGGAGATATTTATAGTCCGCTCAGCTTGTAGAACCCTTCAGGTTCAAAAATGCATTTTTTTTTTCATGAAACACAAAGGTAGGCATAGTTATTTATTTATTTTTTTAATTACACATAAAACAATTAATCAAATAGGCTTAGGCTTGAAACGCTGTACTCTCCTCCTGCCTTGGTTGTCTGGACAGCTGCGTAAAAACTCCCGCAGGGTCTCATTCAGAGCAGCAGTGTAATTTTCTTTGCGACGTTACTCCGTTTTATTTAGATTTTTTCTTTCTTCAGCAGCATCCCATTCATCAAAGTTGTCATATTCTCCATAAATGTTAAAAGAAATAACGAAGTCGCTCATTGTTGTATTAGTAGGCTGTGTAATATCTAACTAACGTTAGATGTTTGTTTTGATAGAGCAAATTGTTAACGGATACTTTGACGTTTGACTGCCTGTTGCTATGGTTACTCACAGCTGTTGTAGGCAGCGCATTTATTTATTCATTTCGAATGGTAAACAGGCAGTTTCACCAGAACTACTTTACTAGGTGTCCTCTATCACTTTTTAACGGACACCCTGCAGTAGGGATCGACCGATATGGATTTTTTAGTGCCGATACCGATACCGATTTTTTCCCCATCAGCCTTAGCCGATGACCGATACGGGCCGCCGATTTTCTTGAGCCGATATTTGGAGCCGATACATTTTGCTCCCTCAATTTACATCTTAAAAATAACATTATGTTAACAAATGTTACAGGTCTCAATTTAATAAAAGTAACATTTAGTTAACTTCAAAAATTAATATTTAACAAATATTAAAAACATAAAGTAGAACAAAAAAAGTTCAGTGCTGAAAATAAATATTTAAGCATAAATTACAAATAATTACACTATTGCACACAGTAGCAACCAGCATAATAAAGTGCACAGTGCACACTGTACTTCATTTTAAAAGAAACGAACTATGTACTGCATGGTTTCAATTTTTCTACATAAAATAAAATGAGCATGTCTAGTCTCTTTATATCACTCCGATGGCGAGGGAGACACACACCACACGCGTCTAAACCTCAGCCAGGTGGGCGCTAAATGTATCTCCCACAAAAAACACTGAACAACGTTGGCATTCCTTAATCCTATGACCAGTGTTCGTTACAGCACCCGTATGCATACTAGGGCTGTCAAAATTACTCAAATGGCGTTTGCATATTCCCTCTAAAAAACATATTCGAACATAGGGGTGTAACGGTACATGTATTCGTATTGAACCGTTTCGGTTCAAGGCTTCCGGTTCGGTACGCATACAAACCGAACGATTGCTTGGATCATTTTTCCTGCCGGCAAAATTCGCGCTGACGCGGCCAACACAACGTTGCGCAACATCAAATGGCAAATGTAATGAAAGCAGAACGAAACTGCGCTACTCATTATGTGCTTCACGGATTATCTGCTTCACGGATCGTTTATTAGTTCGGACCAGCAACATCTGTGCAGCGCGAGCCGATCTCGATCAAGCAACACTGTTACCACACCGCGCGAAGAGATCCGGTAAAGAAAACATTTGAATTCGCCACTGAGGTAATAACATCGCTGCGAGATCTATTGAGATGCATTCACATTTCTCCGTTATCAACCGTAGATCTCTATTAGATCAAACAGCGCTGTCATGGAAACCAGGAGAAACATTGTGCCGTGAATGAACTAGTACTTTACGTCCACAGACCAGCAACATTCACCATGGATTTAATATAGTAACACTAACTGGAACCAGTTTGGCTGGAATGGTGAAATGCTTTCAAGTACTTCACACATCTTTTTCCAGCACTTAAATAAATAAATAAATATATTTAAATGTTATTTTTAATGTGATGACCAAAACATTATTTGTTCATCCTTCAAAGATGACCCCCATTTATAAACCTGAAAGTTTCAAGATCTAGGAAAACTCACATTTATTTAAAAATATTTTTTCTTTAAACAAATAGGACATTTCTCTGGCATTTCTTTCTTTTTGCTGTATCGAAAACGTACCGAACCGTGACTTTAAAACCGAGGTACGTACCGAACCGTGATTTTTGTGTACCGTTACACCCCTACGTAGCGCGTTTTGTTATTGACGCACATTACGTCAATAACAGGACACATTAATACAAAGAGACATAACTACTAGTATTAGATAGTTTATTTGAGTTTAAACATATTTGACAACGTATTAAAAAGCAAACTAAATCAACTAATGGCCAAGACCGCAGAGCTCACTTTGTCTCGCCCGGACTTGCTCAGGCACTCTCTCTCTCTCTCTCGCCCTCACGCTCTCTGCGCGTCGGTTAAATGAACAACAAACAAATGTTGAGTGCTGTGCTGATCAAGAGTTTTGTGCAAGCAATTTAAGGTTGCGAGTCGCGACTCGTGTCCCAAATATAGCAGGCTTCATTCAGTGATTGAAGTTTCACAGTATATAACCGACAGTGAGCGCTCCGAGCGAGCTGTGCAGCTGTGGTAACGTTATTAGTCTGCAACCGCGGGCGTGTTTTTCCACATTCAAATATTAATTTTCACCTTCAAAATGTATAGATATTCGAATGTAGAATATTCATAGACAGTCCTAATGCATACTGAACGGATAGCCTACACCTTAGCTATTTGCAGCTCCCTAATACAATGGCAAGCAGTTAAGTTTTATAGACGAGGCATTCACGTTTTCCATTTGGACCCACAAACTTGCTTAGTTGCAAGCACATAACAGTTATAGGGCGACGTGTTTCCATTTTCAAAGTGTTTGACAATATTTCAGCAGTCAAACATTTAAAAGATCCTTTGAAAGTTTAAGTTACCATTCTCGTGAAGAGCAGGTTGCACTCTGCTAGTGGGGGAGGGCGCGGCACGTGAACTGCAGCGTCTCTAGCAGCACAGAGCTGCCCGTGGCCGAATGCGCAGAGGTATATCGGCCGATTCCGATACACGTAAAAACTTCAAATATCGGCCCGATATATCGGCCGGCCGATATATCGGTCGATCACTACCCTGCAGCCAATCAGAATATCTTTCGGAATCTAAATAGCTAACATTAAAAAAAAATCAAAGTCTGGGTAACTTAATTTCCTCAAACCTTTCATTTCAAGAACATTGCACATTGTAATTTGCACATATACGGAGTTGATATGAAGATAAACCTGCGTCAGACACAGTTTCTACACAGTATATTTTCTGATTTGACAGTAACCACTTAATCTAGCTCCATTACAGTCAATCAGTAATTTCACATACACACGCACGCACACACACACACACACACACACAAACTTGTAAGACTGCATCAGCAGATGTGAAAAAAAAATACAAAAGAGCATATACACCTTACTTAAAGCGAAGAGGTGATTTTCGCGATTGCAAAACAAAATAAGTGGTATCGCCCATCACTAGTCAAAACAGCAACAACCAATCAAAAAAGCCTTCAACGACTGACCAACGAAAACGCGACATCGTACATGGAATCTTATTGGTTGATATTCAACCGCACATGCATTTCAGCTTTAAACTATTTCAGCTACTTCAGCTTTTTAATGTATGGTGTTTTTTTTTTTTTTTTGGTAATTTGTTTTCTTGGCTGATTGCATTATTGTGTTTTTAGGCTGCCTGTCCACTGTGTCTAAATAATTTTCCAATGGATTATTCATGCCAGCTTTTGCGGTGAAAGGTAACTTAATATCGCGTTTTCATTGGTCATTGAAGCCTTTTCTGACTGTTTGTTGCCGTTTTGACACTGACAGCGTTTATGCCAAGAGCAAAGAGAAAGAAATCGAAGAAAAGAGTACTTAGGCATGCGCGAAGGCACGGGACACAGTTTAAGCACATAGAGGAGAGATTCGCGATTGCAACAAACACGTTTTAAGTGCAGGCATATTTTCTGAGCGAGCCCAGAGAAAATTCTTACAAGAGCAGCGTGTATCTGAGAGCGTGCGCCCAGTTCCGGAGCAGAGAGATTCACGCTTGGCGCATTATAATCCGTGCGAGCAGAGAGATTCTTTTTGATTCTTTTGATGTACTTTTGAGCTACAATAATGCGCTCTCGACATTTGACAGGGAAATAATGCCATATTACACTAGTTGCATTACTTTTCCATTACACCTCCAAACAAATTGGTAATTGCATAATTTTTGCAGCCTGTGAATCAAAGATTTGAGCAGTGTAACTCGGCCTAGGATGGTGACACAAAATAAAACGTTGCACTTTTCTAAGCGTGTAATTGATAACTATTGTATGGTGGAATACCACAGCAAGTGCTTGGGAGCACTTTGACTCGGCTCAGTAATATCATCACTCGGGAAAAGTCCTCTCCCCCCTCTCACTCTCCGGAGTGATGATATTACTGCGGCGAGTCCATAGATATATATGCACCGAGTTGAAGTGCTCTCAAGCACTTGATGTGGTATTCCGCCTTACAATAT